ATTGTCCGATTTTAACTTTTTTCAGTGTCATTTAGTTGGTAAAAATAAATTGTAAAATATTTTAACTTTCAGAAACAAATACTTCAAAATACATATGCAAAATAAATCTTCAAACACTGACACTTTAAGATTTATCTATCATAGTGATTATTGTCTAAATATTTGTTACTTTACACTTGTCCATTTCAGCTATATTACTTTTCAGAATTAAAATCCAGGTTTTAGTTCTCCTACAATTCATAAATCAAAGTAATCAAGTCTAAATATCCGTCTGACATACATCCAATTAGTCTTATTTTCTCCAAACTTATAAAACACAACATGCTTTCTAACCAAAACAACTGTATGTATTATGTATGCTAAGACAACACCTGTCACTTCTTGACGTCTGTATTCTACCTATATTTTATAAAATAAGGCAGGAATTTAATATAGTTTGCTTATTCATTTATCTGTAATCATTCCTCTATCATCATTAAACAAATATAACTTCTTGCATTGACAAATCTTACTGCTAAAGTATTAACAAATCTTACTGCTAAAGTATTAACAAATCTTACTGTTAAAGTATTAACAAATCTTACTGTTACAGTATTAACAAATCTTACTGTTAAAGTATTAACAAATCTTACTGCTAAAGTATTAACAAATCTTACTGTTACAGTATTAACAAATCTTACTGTTACAGTATTAACAAATCTTACTGTTACAGTATTAACAAATCTTACTGTTACAGTATTAACAAATCTTACTGTTAAAGTATTAACAAATCTTACTGTTACAGTATTAACAAATCTTACTGTTAAAGTATTAACAAATCTTACTGCTAAAGTATTAACAAATATTACTGTTACAGTATTAACAAATCTTACTGTTACAGTATTAACAAATCTTACTGTTAAAGTATTAACAAATCTTACTGTTAATAACAAATCTTACTGTTACAGTATTAACAAATCTTACTGTTAAAGTATCAACAAATCTTACTGTTAAAGTATTAACAAATCTTACTGTTAAAGTATTAACAAATCTTACTGTTAAAGTATTAACAAATCTTACTGTTAAAGTATTAACAAATCTTACTGTTAAAGTATTAACAAATCTTACTGTTAAAGTATTGACAAATCGTACTGTTAAAGTATTAGCAAATCTTACTGTTAAAGTATTGACAAATCGTACTGTTAAAGTATTAGCAAATCTTACTGTTAAAGT